TTTGAATCTCGATTTGAATTTTCAAATGATTCCTTTGCATTTTTTATACAATCTCTAAAAATTAACAATTTAGTCAAAATAAATTCAGGAATCTATAATAAAGAAAAAATTTACTGTTGATATATATACCTATAATATTCACGTTCCTTTGTTGCCCATGTAATATGATCATTCCATTCTCTGATCTTTATTTCTTTTTCCTCTGGCATCCAATAATTTGCATTGAACCTGTGTTCTTTGCAAATATGACATAAATCACTTCTAGGTGTAAGAAATTTTATCTCTGGAAGATATGTCTGCCATATTCTTCGAAATGTTCTGTTTGAGATGTAAATTTCAGAATTTTCTTCAATTGTATCAATGAAATATTTAAATACAGTAGTATGATTTTCATTTGCTGGAAGAAATATAATATTCTTTGTGTCTTTTTTAAATTTTCTTCCTATAATAAATTACATTGATTAATAAGTTCCCATTTTAATTTTAAAGTTTGTTAATAATTTATTTTTATTTACCTGGAGATGGTAGTCCATTTATATTAGAATAATTTAATATGAATTTAATAATCTGCAAAACTCCATCAAATGATATTGCTCTATTACTTGCTTTCCCTGTTAATGAACTTGTTCTTAATTGTATATCAAAATCATTAAAATGACTTCTAATATTTTTCCATCTTGTATCACCTATGCCATAGATACCCATGAATGCAGTTCTACAAATTTCTGTTCCATCAAAAAAATAAATATTTGCAAATTTTATTCTTTTTTCTTTTTTGGCAGTTGTTTCACTTCTCAAACTAGCAGAAAGAATGCCTTTCAAAAAAATGTCTTGCTCAGTTTTTCTTAAATTAAGAAAACATTTATATCTAGTTTTAATATTATTAGAATTTAAATTCTTTTTCAAACATTCTTTTTGACAGCAATTCTTTTGTACTAAATTTTCTATATAATGGTTTATATCATTATCTATTTCCATTTGTTCTTCAGAATCAATAACTTGGTCATCTATTATTTTATTTTTATTATAAATATTTTTAAATTTATCTATTTGTTCTTTAGACAATGTTTCTGATACATGATCATTTTTTTCTATTTCATCATCACTTTCTTCTATTTCATCATAGCTTACTTCTGCTTCACCAACTCTTTCTTCATTTTTGTTAATAATTGAACTAGACATATAACTTATTCTCAAATTTGCAAAAGATTCTTCTAAGTCAATTAAATCAGGATGTGTTTCAGAAAAAATATTGTTAAAAAATAAATGTGTAGAAGTCATTTTTTTAAAATATAAATTTAATTATTTGTGTTGTGACAAAATGGATTTTAAATTTTTATTTTCCGTTTGTTTTTATTACAAAAATTATTTAATAAATTTCGTGTTACATTATTTGAACCAAATTCCTGGATTTATGTTTATCATTACTTGTTTTAGTAGTATAACATCAATTTTTGGTTCTTATGTCTTTGCAATTTTTTTAAATAACTCAAAATTTTATTAAGCAAAGTGGGTATGGTTTCTAAGCTAAAATTAATCTTTGCAATGAATTACATATAGGAATGTTATTAACTCAAAATCATGATTTTTGATATTTGGGTCGTTTCTATTGTCCATGCCCCAGTTATGCTCAAAAATGCAATAAAATTTTATATCACGTGACCTTTTAATGATGATACAAATTAAAAAAAATATTTATCAGTCAGACAGGATTTCACACTTACTGATTTTACTATATGATCGACACATCACATTTTTCGTACAACAGACTTTAAAGGAAGAATTGAATGCAAGATTATTAACAAACAATTTTTACACTTTTAAATAAATGGGATGTCCACCAGCAAAAAGGGGGCCTGAGGACTTCCAACCAAAATTGAGTTTTTTGCATATTATTACTCTATGATATAAAGACTATGACTAGTAACAATAT